ACATTTAATGGGGTTAAGTGAGTTATGATTATTTCAGGAGATATAGGGGAGGAACAGGCGGACTAGAACATGCAGCAAAAAGTTGCTGCCACACATGTGGTTTCGTTTGGTTTATTTATGGCACAGACGCCTCTCTCAGTCTCAGTCTCTGACTCGACTGACTCGACTGTAACTGTTCCCCACACATTTTGAGGTCCTTGGTGTGCCTTCGTGCCTTCGCAGACAGAAAACAAATTAAAGCCGGGTGACATTTTTATTGCTAGTTAGCCTCCAAGAGAGTGGAGAGTGGAGTGTGGAGTGTGGAGTGTGTGTGAGGTCCCTCCGAGAGCAATGCTCCCCGACTTCCGGAGGTAAATGAACTCTTCTTTGTGTGTGGCAAGAAATTTGCTTAGCCTTAAACGGATTTCCCATTAAAGAGTCACTTCCGCTAGGGCCAATTTTCAATTAGATTGTGGCATTCCACAAAGATTGACGGGCATAAGCCTCTTGGCAAAAGTCCCAACGAAGCGTCGAAGATTTTACAAGAAAAACATTCAAAAGAAAAGAAAACTTGGTGGAAAATTAAATTTGAAAGGGAAAGGGGGCAGGGGGGGGAGGTAAATGGGAGTTCAATCCTCGAAGAAAGATACAGAAGGAGGACAATCCTAAAGAGGGAATGAAAACAGGATTCTAGCTTGGATTTCTCTCAAGAGTTTCCCCTTCAAGCATCTTAAAAATTTCCCCTTCGGAAACCGTACGCCTCATTAGGCAAGAAAGGCGCAACATAATTATAGAAGAAGCGTGTAAAAAAGCAGCAAGAAGTGTATAACAATAAGCCTCTCACTTCTCCTCCAAGAGGCTCCTTAATAAGGGCAAGCGACCTGCAGTTGAATGTCCTTTTTATGCCACAACACGAGCACAGGACAGACTCCAAGAGCCAGTGCCACAGCACGAAGTAAACTTTCAGGAGGTTCCATTATGAGGCCAAGACTTTCCCTTTTTTTTTTTTTTTTTTTTTTGTTGTTGTTGCCATAAGACGATTTTTGGCTTTAAGCTTTTTTCTTTTTGCACCTTTTTTCAGGTTTTTTTCGCAAGAACTGAATGAATGAACGAATGTTCTTTGTCTGTCGTTTTGGTAGGGTTTCGTCCTCGGGCGGGCAGACAAACTGTAAACAGAATCCCATTCGAGGGTAAATACATGGCACATCCATCCATCCTTCAATCCATCAATATGGTTCTGTATTTGTTTTGATGGAGCTCTCAATAAGTTCAACTTTTCCACTGGGCTGTGGGTTTTTCCAGCAAGTTTTTTCCTACAACAACAAAATAAACATTTCTCCATGTCTAGACGAAGTTTTTGTTGATGGAATGTGATATTTTGATAGGTAAAAGTTTGTATAAATATCATAGATTATTGATGTACTTTGTTTTATTTATGATATCTGAAAGGTATGTGCAGATGGGATGGTTTTTCCAAATATTAAATACTTAAAGACCCTCAAACTAGTTATGGAATTGTTTGGAAAACCTCATACTCGTAGATGGCTAGAGAAGAAAAATGTTTGACCAGGTTCGAGACAAAAAAGGGAGCCTCTCGTTGAAAACTAATTTTCAATTTTCAAGAGTTCACATATGTATATCATTACTGGAGACTAAATTTGAAAATTACGAAAAATATGACTAAATCAATAAAAAAATGGAAAAACCTTTTTTTGGGGATTGGATAACGGGACTTTGGGTGTGCCTCATCTAACATCAAATGTTTTTTTAGAGGTAGTGCATTTTTTTTCACATAACTTTAAAATCTTAAATCTGGTTGTATTGAACTCTGAAAAGCTTATAATTTCAGCTACAAATTGGATCCAAAGCCTAATATGCAGACGTTTAACAAAACCAATCGGCCCCATCGTATGCAAACCCAATTTTTCCACCTCCAAAATTAAACTTCAAAGCTTTGCAGACGGCATCTATGCAATGCAACCACCTTATGAAGCTATAGCCAAGACACAAACCCAAAGCACCCGCAGCTTGCATATCAATTTTACACTGGCTCCCCCAGCCGGAGATCAGCGAAAGTTAAAGCAGTTAAATTATATTTAAAATGCAATAAAGCTATATAAAAGCAAACATAAAATAAATATTTCAATAAATTATTTAATATAAATAGCACATAAATAATAGCATTCAATATTTGTGTAAGGCTGGCGGCACAAAACTTTAGCAAACAACAACAGTAAAACGTTTTTTGAGCTTTCTTTTTGTATTTTTATTACCAGAAAAATGTTAGTCAATGAAAACGTTTGTTAGCCTGAAAAAGGGGGGTTAGGCTACGAAAAAAAACCATAAAAAAACAACAGAAAAATCACGAATAAAAAATTTGGAGTAAATATTTGTTTTTGGTTTTTGTAACATTTTTATTAATAATAATATATGTATATTTGCTTCATGGCTTCTGCGCATCCGTTTGTTTATCTGGTTAAATCATATATATTTATAAACATTAAAAATTATAGCGAAAAATGAATTCTACGTAAATGTTTCGTTGACAAAAAAAAAAATACTTAAACTATTAAATTTTGAGCTGAAAATATACAAAGAGATTTATAGAGAGAATAGATTTCATGATTAGTATTTATATCGCATTTCTTTTGCGTTTCAGATGCTTAAACATTTAAGAATGGAGAGTGTACATAATGTGGTTAAATTAATTAATTAATTAAGAGCATAATTAATGGTAAACATATAAAAAAAAATCATTGGCACAAGTTGCAGTCAAAATTAACAATTAATTAAGTAAGAAAACAAAGGAAATTGCGGTTAAAAAATATAAACATTATTTTTTTTTGCCACTGTTAAGGAGGAGCTGTTTGATGAATGGAAAAGATACATTTTGCACAGTGGTTCGAAACGAAATAAATTGTACAACTTATCTTAGAAATTGAGAATACTTTTGGTTCAACTAAAATTAAACATAATTCTTTAGATATTTATAATAAATGGAAATTTTGTAAGTGCACTTTGTGGCATATAAAAATTAATACAAAAAATTCAAAGATTATTTCCATAATTTCTCCATAATTGCAACAACAACAAACAACAGTAACGTGTGGCATCCACACAGCCAGTCGATGTGTGTGTGTGTGTGTGTGTGTGTGTGTGTGACTGTGTATGTGATGATCACATCTTTCAGGCAGCAAGAGCAATTGCAATAATGATAATCACACCAATTACAATGAGGCACAAAGTGAGCAAATCGTTGGGTGTAATCAGGCCCACGGTGCAGGCGACAAATACGTGCTCGAGTGTTGTCAGACCGCCTCGTGCCACGGCGCCACCAACTGCTGCATCTGCTGCTGGTGCCACAGTGCGTACTTCGCCAAAGACAGAGAGCGCCTTCGAGCTGGTGGTTGGCTGCTCCTCCTCCTCCTCCTCCTCCACCACCGCCGCCGCCGGAAGTCCTTGGCGCGTCTCACTTACATCGCCACTGCTCTTGCCCTGCTTCTCCTGCGGTTCCTCCTCATTACGTGCTGAAGTATCGTTAATTGGTATATCATCATCGTTGTCGTTGTCGTTGTCGATCGATTGGTTGGCTTCATCGGTTACTGGTGTCGTCGGTTCTGCTTCCATTTCTTCTCCCACTTTGGTTTCATAATTGAGTTTCACCTCGGAAATGCTTAGGTTGAGTGCAGGGGTCTCGTAAACGATGCTCTTGCGGCGTGGGAACTGCATTGCAGAGTCGCATTCGTCCAGAGTTTCGTTAAATTCGGATTCGTTAGGTTTTAGGTCACTTTCTTCAGATTGTTTCAAGCTAAATTCCGCCTCTTCTAACTCAAATCTACATTCGTTTTCTAAAGTTTCGTCAAGTTTGCGTTCGTTAAGTTTTCTTTCGTCAAGTTTCTCTTCTCTATGTTTTATTTGATCAGGTTTAACTTCGCTAAGATTTCTTTCGTCAATTGGTTCTTCATCAAGTGGATTTTCCTGTATCTTTAAAGTCTCACTCGCCAGTTTATAAACCTCTTCGCTAAGACTAACAGTTTCGTCAAGTTTGGCATCGCTCTCCAGACTACTTTCCGATTCTTCATTATCCGTTACTTCGCTTGAGCTAACTTCTACCTCAACTTCAATATCTTCCTCAAGACTATCGTCTGACAGAGCATCCTCCTCAATTCTTAGCTCTGTTTGCCCACTAATTTCTTTAGAAAGTTCTACACTTTCCGCTCCTCTCTCGTTATGTTCTCGTTCCTCTCTGAGGCTCTCTAGAAGCTCTTCTTCTGTGGGCAAGGGTGGAAAACCATCCTCCCTACCCTCCAGATCCCCACCTCTCTCCGTTCTCTCCGTATCCGTTTGCTCCTCTTCGTCGGTGGAGGACTCTTCTGAGGCACTGATGGACACCTCCGAAACATAGTGTTCGCGCACCTCAAAGCGACTGTTGTAGGTCGTCTGCAGTTCCAGTGAGGCATTGGCATGGTGGTTGTGGTTCCCCCCCAATGGATAGTCGGTGAGACTTACATTCCCCGAATCAGGATTGGAAGAGACCTCTTCTTCCAGGGAACTCAATGAATCAAAGTGGGTTTCCACTCCAACAGCTGGTAGAATCTTGGTCTGCTCTTCCGTCACTTCTTGCTGTTGAATAGTGGCTACCTCGTCCAAGACCAGGGGCTCCTCTTCCTCCATCACAATGCGGATTTTGCTTGCGTAGATGCGATTGAAGTTGGGCGATAGCTTCAAAGCGGTGTCCTCCTCCTGGTCCTGGTCGTGGTCCTGGTCCTGTTCTGGTATCGTTTCTAGCTTATAATTACAAATACTACTACAACTGCTAGCACTATCATTAGAGGATGTGTTTGAGGATGTGGGACTAGTAGTAGTAACATCACTTGCAACATTCAAAACTCGATTAGTAGCGGAGGAGGTAGTAGCTGTTGCTGGGGGCATAGCGGGAGCATTAGTAGTGGCGGAGGCGGAGGCTGAGGCGGATGCTGTGGAGGCTCTGGCGGCGGGCGATCCTTGGGCATCTCCTTTACCTGTGTGATGCTGCTGATGCTGTCGCTGCTTCCGTTGCTTGGGCTGCTCTTCGATGCCAAAAATGGCAGCCAGCTCTTCGCTGGAGTTGTACTGCGATGGCGATGAGGAGGTGCCTCGCACGGGCGTCAGCTGCAGCGGCTGTGGCGACACAGAGCACGAGGCGGTCGTCTCTGGATTTGTCTCCCGTGGGTTTGTGGTGCAACTGCTGATCGTATTCGTGTTACTGGTGGTGCTCATGGTGCTATTGGTGGTGTTATTCGCTGTGGTGGACTGCACATCGTACGATGTGGTGCTGAATGTCTTGATGGGATCGGTGCTGGGTGCATGGTAGTCGCTGCTCTGCGACTTGATGTAGTCGCTCGAGGAGTACGGATTGAAGGAGGTAATGCTCGAGGACAGCAGGCGGCTGGCGTTCGAGGGACTCGACGATTTGGCCAAGCAGTCGCTGCTGCTGCTGAAGGAGCTCGCTGTGGTGCTCACATTTGGTGGACAGCTGCTGCCTCCTCCACTGTGGCTGTGGCTGCCACTCGTGATGCTGGGGGCAGTGGTGCGCTGGTCATCGGTGGTTGATCCTGATCCTGTGGCTGTGGCCGTGCTCCCCTTCGCCTGACGCTCGCACTCCTGCATTATTTTGTCAATCTCCTCGAGCGTCTCTGGAACGGTAGAAATGAGAGTGGCATCAGCCGCAGCAGCGTCGGTAGCCGGTGCAGCGTTTATATTACAGGCAGCCGGCAGATTATCGTAGTCCGGTTGGGCCTCGGCCAGCTCGCTCAGTTGTCGCATGCAACGGCGGGCGATGTGCTCCATCTTCTCCGATTGAATGGGATCCAGTTTCTTGATGAGAGTGGGCATCACCAGGTGCTCCGCCTGGGCTCCTCCTGTGGCTCCGCCCGTGGGCTGCTTCACCTGCCGTGCCTCGTGGACTATCACGGGCGGCTCTGTCGTGACAATATCCTTCAAGATCTTCTCGCAGACGGCATTGGCCGCCTCGGAGACCTCATCGATGGCGCGTATGAGTTTTCCCTCTTTGTGGAGTTTCCTTTGGGGCTGCATCTGATACTCCTCCTCTTGTCCCGCATCGGGCAGGTTGTCCAGCAGCATCTGGCCGCATCTCTTGGCCGCCTTGGACACGGCATCGATCTCTTGGAGTTCGTCTTCGAGTTTCTGTTGCTCGGCATTCAGTTTGGGTCTGGCGGCTGTAATCAGTGCCTCTCGGCGCAGCTCATGGAGTTCCTGGCTCAATTTGATGCTGCTCGCCTGGGCATCCTGCGCGATCTTGTTCAGGGCATCCTCAAGGAGGGGTTCGGGCGTCAGGCTCTTCCTGGGCGCCGCCACAGGCGGTACCTTGGGGGGCTCTTCCTTGGTATTCAAGCGCTCTGGCAGATGGGCAATGGCTCCGCCCTGACTGGGATGACGGAAGGGTATGGCGTGGGCTTTCTTCTGAACCGCTTCCATCTCCTCGTCCTGGGCCTTGAGCTTCCGCAGGAGGTCCAGTGTGGCTGGTATGTCATTGGTGGCCTCTGCCTGAAGGTTCGACATGCTGCCCGCCCGTTCAATGCTCTTCGTGAGCTCCATGTAGCTCCTCAGATCCCCGCCCGACGGTTTCGCTGCATCTCGATGGATCAGATTGTAGATATTTGCAGACTGTGTCCTTGTGGCCCGCTGTTTCTTTTGCATGGGATAGTGGAAGCTCGATTTGGGTCCTGGGGGATCCTTGCGCAGGGCGCGCACTGCCAGATCGTCCTTTACGATGTCCGGGGAGGTGCTCTTCTTCTTCTTGATCACCCGGATGGGCTCCACGTGCAGATAATCCGACTGGGGGGCCGGCACAATGGGACCCACGGGTATGCCAAATGGCGGCTGCCTCTCGGACGAACGATGCTGAAGATTCGCCAGCTGCAGATTCCTGTACGCCACATCATCCCTCACAAGGTCTGGCTCTCCCGTCGGCGAGTCCTCATCATCGTACTCATCCGCATGGGCCAGGGCGAACTTCTCGAAGTCACTGGGCGTCGGTACCCGCATCTTTGGCGGGGCAGCAGTCTCCGGCATCATCTCTGGCATCGTCGGGGTCACCTCTGCCTTGGGCTCCTGTGGCTCCGTGAGTCCCAGACTCTTGTAAATGGCCTCCAGCTCATTGATGGCCTCCTCCAGATTGGCCGGCTTCTTCCGTGGGAAATACAGTGGCGGCACCGCGGGCAGGCTCTGCTTTCGTTCGGGGTAGACGGGCGGTGGCGCCTGCTGGTGCTGCTCCCGCTTCTCGGCCACATATTCCTCGTATTTGTTGGGCAAATCCTCGCCAGACCTGCGCTGATAATGATGCGGCATGGAGTTGGTCTTTTGGACATCCCGATGCCGGATTTCCACATAGTTTGGTTTGATCTGAAGACTGCCACACACCACATTGTCCTGATCGTGCAGGGCATTGCTTGCGGGTGCCGTAGGCGGCGTTCTCTTCGGTTTCAGCACCTCCGAATACATGGGCATGGGATATCCTCCACGCAGTTCGCTCAATCGGGAGCTGGAAATGGAGCGGGGCTTCATGATGGGCTGCGGTGCCGCCGCTGCTGTGGGCAGACCACTCTTCGAGGTCCTCAGTATCCCACTGGAGGGTGGTGTCTCCTGCTTCTCCGCCTCCATCATGTGTATGGGCTTGCGAGAGCGCGGAGTGGCGTCTGCGACATAGTGAAAATCAATGCCATTTGGCAGGGACTGCTTGCCAGGATGCGCATTCCTCTCCGAACGGGTGATGAACCGCCGATGGTGCTGCGGCTGCTGCTGCGACTGCTGCGGCTGCTGGCTCGGCGGAGCACTGGCTATCGAGGAGCTGGGCTGGGAGTTCAGTGAATGCACGGATTGATAGTGCGGCGCCGGCTGCCATATCCTATCGTCGGAGACGCACCGGCCGCTGTGGTCGAAGGCGTAGGAAACGGGTCGCAGATCCCCCGAGCTGGAGCCCACGGCATGCACACGCCGCAGTGGATCTCTGGGTGGCGGAGGCGGCGGCAGGGGCTTGCTCTGCATCCTGCCATTCACATTCTGCAAATGGATGTGACTGTCGTAGCTGATGCTGCGCTTGCCATCGTTCTGGATGGTATTCTGCAGGGGCTTCTGCTGCGGCTGCCACTGGACATAGGCGGCATTCGGCTGGTAGATGGACAGCGGCAGGGGCTGCGTCTTGTAGCGTTGGGGATTGGGCAGCGGCGGCACGCCGCCATGGCTCTGCTCTCCGTCGCGGGAGAGGCGTTTGTAGTAGCGTTCGTTGCGCGCCGCTCGACTGCGGCGACTGTTCTGCGCCTGCGCCTGCGACTGGGACTGGGACTGCAGCGAGGAGCCCTGCATCAGGGCCTGCCCCCCACTGTGGATGCTCTCGTCGCTGCGGTACTTGGAGAAGGTCGAAGAGTTCAATGAGATCAGCTCCTCCTCCGCACTGGAGTGATGGGCCCCCGGGGGCTTCCTTTGGGCAGAGCGGGACTTGCCCCCCATTTGGGTGTGGGCGTGTGGGTGGGGGTGCTGCTGTTGCATGAGCCCGCGTCTGTCCAAGGAGTTACTCATCGATCGATGGTAATATCCGGGCCCCGGTTGATTTTGGTAGTACGGTTCCGGCTGTTGCTGTATCGTTTCCACAGGCAGGAAAAACTCATGGTCTATGGACTGGGGGCGATGTGGGGGTGGTGGCGGCGGCGCCTGCTCCTCGTACCTGCTGCTGCCCCGCGAGGACGAGGATTTCCCTGGCTTTCCCTTGGGCTTTCCACTGCCTGGCGCCTGTCGTTGCGAGGGCACAAAGCCGGCCTTGCGATCCTCCTCACTGGACGATGGACTACACTCCGCGGCATCCTTTTTCTTGCCTCGAAACAGACGGCCGAAGGACCATTTCTGTTTGTGGGACAACTGCTGGGAGGAGCCTCCTACACTCCCCCCATGATGGCCCCTCAATCGATCCATCTGCTCCTGCTCCTCCTCCTCCTCGGCTGCGGCTGCGGCTGCTGCTGCTACTGCCTGATGATAGTTCTCGTCGTAGTTCTGGGGATAATGGATGTCCGCTTTGGTGGATATCACTTTCGTGTCGCTGTGCCGTTCATCCGTTAGCTGCAGCTCCTTGGGCAGCGGCAATTGTGGCCGCCAAGTGGTCTGAACAGTCTGCAAAAAAAGATACGAAAAAAGCAATCCAAAGATTAGTTTTTTTTGTTGCAAACTTTCAACGGAATCGTAGATAATTTATGTGTCAACATTATGTTTTATTTGCACTTAAAGGCAGGTAGGCAGGGAGGCGGCGAGTGAGGCGGTGAGGGAGGGAGGAAGGTAGGGGAGTTTCATTGGAAACTTAAGATAAGATTGTGTCTCAAAGGCCGTTTGCGAGATAAGACCCCGAACAAATAGTCCGCGAGACTTTAACGATCTTTTGTGGCTGAATGTATCTGAAAGATAGTTGTGTGTGTTCGTGTCTGTGTGTGCTTTTAACGACCTCCCGTCGCCCCTTACACACATTTACATGACAACTAGAAATACTAGAAATATATGATCTTAGCTGGAGCTTAAGCCGCAGGGTCGTTGGTCTTTTATGAAGAGGCCTTAAAGTCTTTAAGAAGATGATCTCGGAGTGACATCTAAATGGGGATCTTTTCTCTACGTTAAAAACCAGCAAATCGAAGATTTTTTCGCTTTTTTTGCAAAGGCTTTTAATGTGTGATATTTCAAAGTTCTCAAAGGTTTTTTAACTGATGATCTTTTGGAATCTTTAAGCGTTTTTCGTCTGGGATCTTACTGGTATCCAAGAGGAGGAAAATTCATCTTGAAGGGCATTTTTGTTTGGTCTTCAAGGACCTTCTAGCTGGGGATCTTTAAACGATCCCAGGAAGATCTAAGGCCTCACCGAAGGCCAGTCTCTCGGATCTTTGTCTAATATCTTTGCACATAGTCTGAGATAGATTTTTTACTCTCCATCCATCTTCTACCTGTGTGGATCCGCTTTTAGGGTAAAGTATTTTTAAGGTTTTTTATAGGCTGCTTTTGCCCGTCATGAAATTTGCATATAGCTCCCACGCTGATTTGAAATCAGAGCGGAAGAGGCTCGTTATGATGATAATTATCAACACAATTTAGATACTAAGCAAAGCACTTGGAGGTATGACTAAAGAAGGGCCTTATCTACGAGTAATTGTTGGATGTTTAGGGTGTTCTTGGAACCCATTTGCTGGCTCTATTTTATAAGCTATTAGAGCTTTTGCCATCAATCGATTGCGGCTCTTTCTAGCAGTCAAATGTGGCGCATTCCCCCCTTTTATCTTATCTGCAATTCAGTCTCTTTTTGCTAATTAATTTAATTAATTTTACAGCCCTCTCGCAGAGCAGCCCACAATTTAATTTCAATTTCCATTTCATGCCAAAAAATGTTGTAGTTTTTGGTTTTGTTTTTTTTTTTTTGCCGGATATTAAACAGAAATAAACCAAACTGCGTGTGAAATGTCGAATTTGGGTGTGTTTCTGTTTAAAGGGAGGTGGTGTGGAGGGGGGAGGAGGGGAAAATATCATTATGATATTTGTTTATACTGAAAAGCTCTCTCTAAAATTCGGGGATGCGTGGGGGATGGGATGGCTGTGCGATCTGTGGATCTCTGGATGCATCATTTCCGTTGCTGACGCCATTGAAAATATCATCCGAAGAGCAGAAGATCGGGCGACCGCTGAAGAAATCGAAAATCGAACAACGTTAAGGGCAACAACGGCAACACTTGTCTGCGGCCTGGAGTGGAATATAAACAAAACACAAAAGGGGAGTGGAGTGGAGTGGAGTGGGAAGCATAAGCATAGGCATAAGAAGAGCTTATTGTTTGTTGTTGAGTGACATTCGATATGGTTTTCATCTGGTGTGTGGCCGGACATTCGATATGGTTGGCATCTGCAAAGGGAAAGATCTCCAAGCGAGAACGATCCACACTTCAATTTGTCATCGAAATAATGGCTGATTATAATCCACTCCATGTGGAAGTTATGGATGATTGAAATACCACTGACAGATGGAAGTTATGACTAATTGAAAGATCATTGAATGATCTTTTCTTTTCTGTTGCAAAATTAAAAAATCACTCTTTCGAAAGATCCAGATCAAGAACATCACTTGAATATCTATTGATCAACATCCGATGCCAAAGATCGATTCTATGGATTGCATTTTCCCCGAAGAAGATCTCCCCCTCTGGGGGCCTTTTAAACTCTCATAAAAAAGAACACATTCCAAGAACTTGTTTGCTTTCGTCGTGCGAGTGTCTCAACGAATACTTCCCATCAAACACATGTCATGTCTGGCGGTCTTGTCAGCCCCTGATTTACGTTTGGAAATTTACCCCTAAATACATTTTGAAACGTGATTCAGAATCTGCTTAAAGTCAAATTATAGCTTACGTTTATGGACTATATTTATGTAAATTACATGAGAAATATTTCGCTAGGGCAATGGGAATTTATGGGTCGCCTAAACAGCTGCGTAATGTCGGGCATTTTGCCAGTAAAAAAGTTTGAGGAAAACGAGAAAAAAAAAACCTATATAGAGGCTGAAAATCACTCATACGCACGGACCGCAACCACGTCCAAAAATCTATGGCGTAAGCCGACAAAAAACACAATAGAAGCATATATCAAACGTATGCCGGGGCAAACTATCTATAAATAATCACACGCAACTCCAGGCTGCGCGAAAAAAAGATCCACACAAAAGGCATTTGGATTCCCCAAACTCAAATGGCGAATCCCCAAAAAAAGACAACAAAAATACACACACAAAAAAAGGAGCGACAACTTATAAATAAAACGGGTCTGCGAAAAAGTACGGGAATTATGTGTGCGATCCTATAGCTATAACTCAGATACAATCCGTTCTGCGATCCGTTACGATTCCGCTTTCGAACCGATTCAATCCGACACGAGCACGGGCTTTTTCTTGACTGAAAGTAAAGGAAAAACTGTGTGCGCACAGCACAGCACAGATCGATCCGATGCGATGCGATCCCCCGAAAGCTCCACACAAGAAGCTCCCTCCCTCTGGGGCGCAAGAGAGCGGCCGCCAGAACTTAAGAGAGCGTCCGGCGAGTGGTGGGGTGGGTCTAAGAGAGCGAGAGGGAAGAACTTTACACGGTTTACAGATAGAGGAAGCAAGGCGTGATATGATGTAGGGCGGCGTGTAGGATTCCCTGAGGCACAGATCTCAATTAAGTAAACAGAAAATTGAATTTAAATTGATTTTTTCCCTTTGGTTTTTGTTGGGATTTAACGTCATTAAAACTGTATTACGAATGGGTGGCCGGGGGAAAAGTCGATGAACTTTTAGGCACTTTAATTAAGGCCGAGAAATACTATAGCAATTAAATGGGTGAGTCCGTTTGGGTGAAGGCGGTTCCATAGGGAAACGATTTGCAGGTGAACGAGAAGAGAAACTCGTCAGACTAGAAAATACTACTTTGTAAAGTGCTATCTTGGAGTTGGCAGAAAATACTAAAACTAATACTAAAAAACTAAAAAGCTTAAATAAAAACACAAGAAAATACTGGAAAAATACTAGAAAATACTGCTCAAATACAAAAAAGCTACCAGAGAATAATTGAAAAGAATAAAAGAAAATACTGAGAAAAATACCAAAAATACTAGACTAAATACCGAAAATATACCAGAAAATACTATAAAAAAAATACGAAAAAATACCAGGAAAAGGCTAAAAATACCAAAAATTCTAGAAAAATACCAATAATGCCACAAAATCTAGATCAAATCCAGAAAATATTGGAAAAAAGTAATCGAAAATCATTCGTCTTCTCCCTTGCAGGAGAAATGTGTCACCTTCTTGTGGGACGAGTAGGAGTACGATTATGTGGGCCTGTGTCTGTCCGCTGCTCGATTAACAACATCATTAATGTCAAGATTCATTTCGGTTGTGCCTCGAAAATCAACTTCTGGGGTTATGAATGTTATACCCAAAAATAGCCGCCGCAGTGCTCTCTATAATGCTGATCGAAGATTGCTCTACTTTTGTCAAATAAATATGCCAGAATGAATCATTTCACCGACATTTACTAATGCAATTAACTTGAGGTGGAAAAGAAGAAAATAAAAAGAAAATATTTAGACAGCTTGGAAAACAAAAAGCGAAGGAAAAGAGCATCAGAGCCATTCGAGTGCTATGCGGAAGATGCCTGTGCCCCGAAGGCAAAAAACTAAAGTGCAGGCCACCTCGTAAGTGGGTGAATTCTAATTTTAGATAGACATTTTGTAGATACTATATATTTAGAGCTGATTCCGAATGAAGCGGGCCGATATGGGTCAGAGTTTCTCAGGAGTTTTGATGGGGCCTTTCCTCACCTGAAAGCCAGCCGCAACCTTGGCTGACAAAATTCTCGAGAAAAACCCGTTTTCTCTATATATTTCAAATAAAAATTAATTTTAATTGGATTTTGGCTTATTCACATTTTTTTTTTTTTTTTTTTTTTTTTTTTTTTACTTTTTTGGCAGCTGCACGAGCAATTGAAAAAGTTAATGAACTGTGGCTCGATTTCGCAAAATATATATCAGGGAATTTAATTGCAAGTTTAATGACTCTTAATTCTGTTTAATTTTGAAACAAACTTCAAAGCGAAACACACATATCTCGACGATCTCTGGTTTGTCTGCTAATTTATTTATAAACTTATAAATTGTGGCAAAAGTTTGTTGCTGCGCGCCACATCCGCTTGCGAAAGTCCATCTCCATCTCCAACAATCCACAATCCACACTCCACAGTCGAGAAGAAGCTGAAATTCCAGCGAAATATCTGTGTCAGAGGCACAGATTATCGCACATATTATGCAAAAGAGGCTGAAATGCTGAAACATTTCTGACAGCGGCGGCAACAAGTGGTTTCGCTCGGTTCGGGGGCTCCACTGTGGGTTCTTTCACTTCTAATCTCCCGACGACAACAAACGAATGTCTCTGTCTTCTGGTGGAACTTCTTCGCCATCAGCTCCACCGAAGCATGCATAATCTTTACTAATTTCTCTTGTCAGTAGGAAGGGTCAATGACAGAACGCCTTCCCCGTTTCCCCCGTTTCTCCCGTTTCCCCCCATTGCCTGGAAAACTTTGGGAAAAACCCAACCTCCTCCTCCTCCACAAAGA